CCTGTCGCCCCCGCCCCACCCCCCTGCAACAGCGACATAGACACGCTCATGGACACCCGCGAGTGCCGGCTGGGCCCAACTACTGCCATCAAAGCTCTCCTCTCTCCCTAGGGGCCACCCTCCTCAACCCGAATCCCGATTCACCGCCACCGCCAACGTCCCTGCCGCTTCAGGGAAGCCGGAACACGCCTCGACTCGTTTCGATTCTTCCTTCCGTTTCTACCTTTCGCGACCACTTTTTCACCTTTCGAGAGAAACACTTTTATCTCGGAATTTCTACACGCACGTGACACACCGACACAACTCGTCGAGGTCGTCCTTTTCTTTCGATTTTTTTCACCGCGTTATCGACGCGAACATTCGTTCGAATCAAAACACCGTTTCTTCGAAATTACACCGGAATTATGTGTACCACTGACAGGATTACACTCTAGCACTCGGAGTAACGTTTCTTTACGAGTCAGTAGTGCTTCTCAGTCTCATGACACTGGATCGAAAGCCTGTGATCACCTTGAACGCGTTAAATCGTTGGGTATTTAAACGTCGATCGGGAGTTTTGCAAAAAGCTATCGCGTCGGTATCGCTTGCTCCCGAATTTCGCATTCAAATGCCGCGCGCTTTCGTAGGCACGGCGGGAAGGGCCGAGAGCTTGCGGGAAACGAAGACCGAGTGAAATTCGTGACAACACGCAGCGACTGTGGTCGCGTCCTTTATCGTCACGACGACGAAAACGATACGTGCAAAGGATAACCTTCGAGAAAGAGGCAAAGTCGATGTCCTTGTGCACGTTTCCACGACACGGTCAGAGATAAACGGGGCGTTGCATTTCTCCTCAGAAGCGGCCAGAAGAGGAAGCGATACTTTCGTGGCTCTTCCAGTCGTTTAACGGTTGAGCACTCGATATTATCATTCCTCGATGGGTGAATCTCGAACGATCGTGCCACGTTTTTTTCCGGCGTAGTCACGATATTTACGGTGACAATACTTAGGTTATGTTTGACACACGCACGCAGTCGTTTCTCCCTCTTCGCCGTCAGTTACGCTCAGCTGGCCTCATAACGTTGCGATCGGAGGGACGGAGGTGGAAAGGGGGCGGTGCTTGTCCGTAAGAAATACGGTAGCGCGAAACAGAGAAAGGAATAAGAGAACACTGAAAGGCTCGGTCGAGTCCTCGATGGCTACCGCGATTCCGGCTGTAAGAGCAAATTATTCGATGGTTCGCGACAACCGAGGATTTCTCGCTGTCCAGGTCCTACGGCCGAGCCAGAAACACTACCGCTTCGTAGAGATCAAGCACGCACACACAAACACGAAAACACGCGCGCGCGCACACAGCGAGAGAGGGAGAGAAAGAGAAAAAGGAGTCTCTCGCGTAGCCGCGATAGAAGGATCGTCGCGGTACGAACGAAGCACACGTCTTCCTGCAGCCAAGGCTTGCTGGCCACTGGCCGGAGGGGGTGAGCTACGCTGTCTACAGCGCCAACTGCTCACAAAGAGGGTCACGTGACCTGCGCAGTCGCTCACTGCGCATCGCAACGCCGATCTTTGCGTCCTCTTCGCGAAAATACGATTGAAAATGCGTGCAGATTGCGATTTTTGCAGTTTTTGATTAATTAATTATTCGATATTTAATTTGATTAATGTACATTTAAGTGCAACGTTGACTTACTTTGATTCAGGAATAGTGCAGGTAATACAACCTCTCGCCGCTTACCTTCAATTTTCACAGATCAATCATGAAACTATTTAAATTTAGATATTTGAAAACTTTCGAATATATGTATAATAGTATATTTCTGTATAAAATTAATTATTGCTTTTAATATGGCGCGAATATATCGAAGATAATCAACGATATATTAACCCACTAAATTATTAAACAATATTCGTTTTAACTTTTTATTGAAAGGAAATTGGTAATAATTCATGACGAATTTTAAAATAAATCGTAGATTAATTGTGTACATTTACATGGTCATTATTGAACGTATTAAATTAATAAATCTACCGTCCTTCTTGCTGCATCACAATAATGTATACATTTTTATTAAAAAATGTTACAGAAATACGAACGATTCAAGCCAGCAATATACAAAGCGTATTTTTCCTCGCTGATACGATTGTAAGAAAAAAATCGATTGTATTTTGTGTTTTTGTTCATTTTTTTCGTATTTTACAATATTTCACGACGATTTTAACGATAATTAAAATAATGAAAAGAATTGTTTATCGAGTGTAGGCTTCCAAAAAATACTCAACGGTCTTATCTTACAACCGTAACAGTTTTATTTATTTTACTCCATATATCCATATCTGTATCGATATCCACATTTATCATATACATATATCATTTTAATGATAAGTATACTCACAAAGGAGAGTATTCTTTGTTACTTCATTTAATTGTACACGTAATTACGAGGCATGTATTCACAATTATTACTACGAGAAAAACAAATCTGTTTAAATTCTGTTGTTAAATAACAAAGATTAAAATTATTATTATTATTACATTCTATTATATTATTCTTTTGCTCTGGATAATCAAAATAATGTTTCTAGAGATCACATTGTGCACGTTAACCAACTATGTATTACGCGATTAAACCTTAAACTTATCCTATCTTTATAGAAACGCCCAGCTATTTTTCATTACTCTTAGTCGATATAGATACAATCTGTGAATACAGGCCTGAACACTTACATACGATCGTGTAGGAAAATATGAAAAGTTTATATTTCGAATTATCTCATCTCACGTTAAATAGGCTTCTATCTTTGGTCTGACCGAATTTCCATCGATAATATTACAAGTCCATCTGCCGAAATATGCGTAAATCGCGAGAAAAATAAATTTCACTCTAACATCGTGTTCCTCGCTATATCGCAGATAACACAGCAGACAGCAGTCCTTATGCTCCCGTCTTTTCTCCTACAACCACTTTTGCTTGAAAGACCGCAGATATAGTTACAGGAAATTCAGCTCGAAACATTCAAGTGGGAGAACAAACATCACACTTTCGTCCAACCTGAACAAACTGATTTTTAATTTTAAACGACATTCAGAGATTGTTGAACCCATAAGAGCCCGTGGACACTCTATATACACGTATATTTCATTGAACGGATCAATTTAATCTTCTGTACAGCATTTCAAAAAGTATGTATAAAATTTTGAGAAAATAGGTCTCCTTAAAATTTCTTGGAATCTCGGACTGCAAGCAATTCCAAAATTTTAGAAAATTTCGTCTTGATCGCTCCCTGGGCGCCGATGGGTACGAACATTTAACACTTATCTCGTATGATTTACGTAATATAATCGTCTAACATTAATTCACGGTACTATTAACTAACAAGCGCACAAGTATTAGCAATATTAAGCTCATTGAGGTACAGTGTGCTTTACACCATAAGTAATCTACCATTTGGCGAGAGTATATTAAATAAACACTGAAATCAACGAAATTGTTGCAGAAGTAAAATGAGACATAAATCCTAAATTAGCCGATACTTTAATTATAAAATGTGCAATCATTTGTAATTATAACACATACGAAACGAATCTTACGAGAATTTCAATGAGCGAGAATTTGATCATTTTTTTATTATATTTACAAATTATAATCGATTTACTAAGAATCTCTTAATATCGAAATGAGATAACAAAAAATATAAAAATAACAAAAGCGTTAAATTTATTACTTTAACAAGTATCTCATAAAATTTGTGCGAGTTTTCGATTTAATTTCAATAATTCGCTTTCACGGATATCGTACATTGGAGTATAGTAGACTTCTCTGAGAAAAACGGAGATATATCGTTTGTTGGCTCCTCTCTCTAGGAGTCGTTCTGATTCAAAAGAAGCCTACATTGCATCCAAATATACGTAAGTTTTCATTCTATTCGATTTAAAGTTCACGGTATCGTTAAAAACGTTTCGCCAGACAATTTGTATCGTGGCGGTCAGGCACCACTCAATCACTTTGTATAAACTTTTGTTAGGTATTTTGAGCCATCGTGTTAATCATCGTTCACTGTGAATCAAATGTTGATTACGAAAGTTCAAAACCCGTATTACTAGTGACGGCATAGCGTAACTTCTCTCGCAAGGTACTTTTCTTTTGGTAATTCGGTAATTTAAGGAGATTGAAACACGTAGATGAAGTAGGTAAACGGTTCTGCGGATCTTTCTTGCGAATCGTAAAGAATCCTCTGATTACACTACCTGATTTAAACAAAAAAGACAATTATTTACATAATTAAGCAAAAATATATAATTTGATAAATAATATATTTTTTACCGATTGTATCACCCGTATCTTCGTCATCACCAACTTCAACGCAACGAATCGAAAATGGTGGTTCTAAGTATGCGAAACCCAGCAAAGGTGATTTGGAGCAGCTCGTAACAAACTATAAGATAAAAATATTAACAATCGCTCCTCGTTATAATATCACTTTAATATACCTTCAAAAATAAGCCTCTTTCTTCTTCAGAAAAATCTTTCTCCAAAATATCCCATAACCAGCAAACTACACGATGACTATCGTGAAAACCACCATAGTATTGCGTATGTCTTCGAAGATCTCGTAAATCCAGTGGAACGTTATCACCCGAAATTAATCTTTGCAACTGAAAACAGAATTAATTTACAAAAAATTTCCTCTAAAAATTATAATAAGTATAATCTCACAAAAATTTTAATCTTACTTCTGGCGTTGAAAATAATGCCAACCACTCGAGATTAATTATGGAACGAAATCCCTTAATAAAAGCAGCTGTTTGATCTTTTATTTGCATATGCATTCTAAAGTGAGCCATCAAATGTATATAATTAATTTTATTTTCATTGGTGACCGGCACCGCTCGTCCTCCAGGAATCAACTCGTGCGTAACTAATTTGCCTAAAACGTCTTCATCAAGGGAAAAAGTTAATTCTAATTGCTTAACATCACCTTTGTAATGCTTTACAAGAGTAAGACTTCGATACAAATCACGATCCAAAGAAGCCAACTCATCTAACCAGCTGTATAATGCTCCTCCAGTTTGCCCAGAAAATTGGGAAACAAAGAAGGACGCAAAAGGTACATCTACAACAATGCCCTATAAAAAAAACATTGTAAATAATTGTAATTTGCGATATATTATTTTTCGATAATTTTGCGTACTTCGTATACCGCTTTACCCAACATTCGACCAACAAATTCGAAAAGTTGCAAATGATTATCTTGCATAGAGGATGTTGGAGACGGATAAAGTCGATTTTCGCTAGTGGCTTTAAACAGGTTTAAAGACGGATCAAAAACTTTCTTTATTATCTCCTCTAAGAATTCTTTAAACACTCCATCTTGGTCGATACCAGCTTCAGCTAAACCCTGCTCGTTTACGAAACGAACTCTAATCACACCTTTCAGTGCCTGAGACGGCAACATTGCTAGTTGACGGTATCCATCTTCTACTATACGTGTTCTGTGAAGCATTTTTGTCAATAATTTTGTGTAACACTTTTGACTTAAAAAAGAAAAAGTATTTTAATACCTATGGACAACAATGAGCGTTGTTGGAGTACTGTTACACGCGCTTTCAGTCAATCCCAGCACTGCTTTCTCGTTAGCAACGTGTTTTCGGAAGAGTACCACACGTTCAGAATGAGGAATGACGTGTGGCATTTTAGATAAAAGAAGCGCAGCGCCTCGTTTACCTTTCTCTAAATCCGCCAGGAAACCGGATACTCTGACTTCCTGTTTTAAAAAAGTTTTAATTCTACATTCACGCTATGTACAATGAAAACATTTTTGTTTAAAATACTTAACTTTGCCAACCAATGTCCTTCGGGACAAAAGGTCCGTCTACAGTCTCGCCGATAGATTGCCATTAAAAGTGTGTGAAGAGAAGTGAACAGAGGATTATTAGGAACCGATTTCACGTCTGGAACATCTAAAACTTCAGTACATAGCTAAACACCTTATCATTTACAACATAGAAAAACAGACATTTCGACTACATTTGAAAAGTATATAATGTACAAGTTGTAATACATACCAAACAGATTATTAAGAACTGCCTTGTACAAAAATTGATTTAAAAAATATGATATTGTTACAAAATCATTGAGTTTAAATGGATCTTGTTGTTCATACATTTCCATATCATCTAAAATTCTATAAAAAAAAAAGATAATATGAATATAAATTATATAAAATGCTTCTCTACGTATATTTCCATAATATCACAACAGACTTACGTCACATAATGTGTCATGCAATCCGAAAATAATATCAACATTTGAAATTCAGGGGCTGTACATTTTGTATTAGCAGCTAAATGATCTAAAAATGCTTTTAAACCGCAATGTGGACCCAGTGTTCCCAGAAATAAATACATATGATACAGAATTTTATCCTGGTAGCACAATCCTAGAACATTATATAAACATACATGTAGTTATTAAATATAACTGATCATATGCATATATACATACCAGTTAATATTTCCATCTTCATCTGTGTAAGTGTATGTAAAGCAAATTGATAAAGGGAACAAATTAATGCTATTCTAGTAGTTTCTGGGCTACCCAATTTCCTATAATTCTTAGTATTATTATTTCTATTTGTACGAGTTTCTAAAAACGCTCTTCGAAAAATGTTGGTTCCAACAGATGAGCTTTGTTGTTCTACTGGTGGAGGTATTTCCTTTTCAATAAGTTCAGTTAATGGTTGACCTAATAAAAGATTGTATGTGATCCTTTCATGTTAATTTTAACAATGGCGTATTTACAAAAAAACAATGACCAATGTTACCAATTAATTGTGTCACTATCCCTCCTGTCCACAGACATGCTAATTGTGATTTTACATATGGAATAGGTTCTTGCAAAGAGGCATCAACTTTTTGTGCAAGCCATCCAAGAATAGGATGCCAATGTGTTAAATTACTTTGTTTCGCAACCACATACTGTTGGCATGATTCCAACATTTTTGTAACTACAAACTGGAAGTTTTTAAAAGATTGAAATTAGTACCTTACAAATTACATAAATGAAATCTACTAATATGATAAATTTGTACCGTAAAAGAAGGAAAATATAACTCTTTCAATACTTCAATCCTTTCAATGTTAGCCAATTGTATCAAATTGGCTAGCAAACACAGCGCATAGCTACCCTCTAGGGCATTAAAGACTATCCTCAGGTTTTGTTCTAAATTTAGTAACTCAAGGCTTCGTGCAAATAAGTTGTAGTTAATAAATGATGATATACACTAAAAATATATTATAAAAATGTTTATATAGTATAAACAGTAATTTAGTGTAGCATTTTATTATCTATTTACCACAGAGGATATATTATTCAGATGATAGACCAATGCAGGTACACTAAAAATATTAATTAAAAATAATGACACCAATTTATCTGACATCTGAGAGGAAATTAATGGTCTTAATGCCAAAGTAACAGCTGCTGAAAGTGCAATTGGTTTTAGAGCAATTTCCACTCTACCTAATCCTTTTACCAGAAAAGCCTGGAATAAGAAAAATAAATCTGTTATATCTGTACTAATTTATTTTTTAAATGATACTTAATATACTGCATATCAGTTGAGCCATTATTAATATGACAATCACCTGCATAATAGGATAGAATCCATTGTTGACTAGGTGACCCATCATATTTGCACAAAGCTGATTCATACCAGCTTTGAGCTTCTCCATTCCTTCTACTTTTTGAATTGCCCATGTTCCTGGTGATGTAAAACTAACTAATGTATGTAATCTCAGATGGATGGATTTATGATCAGTTATTCTTTCTGGTTTAAGATTCTCTAAACCAGTTAAACAATAAAGTAATATTGTTTTCATTTGTGATATCCATGATATGTAATGAGCTTTATTTAATAAAAGACCTACATATGATGTTTCTGGTGACTCTGAATCAAGAGTCAATACTAAATATCTGAAATATTTATTTTGAGAATATTTCTTCAGCATCTTTTATTATGTCTTATTTTCTTGTAAGTTATTTAAACAAACTTGCACATACCTACATAACTTTTCTATTCTTCCTTGATCCCTTTCTTTTTTGTATACATACAAAAATTTGGAAATAATTTTATACATGTACAAAGCAGGTTTTAATTCTATATTTGTTTCTGTACCACCATCATTGAAAAAATTTGTATCAAATTCTTCTCTGCAAATTATAATCCACTTTTAATTACCTTAAACTTTAGTCATATATAAGTAATTTAAGAACATGATGAATTTAAAAAGTATGTGCAAAATAAAAATTACATGCTATGCTGGTATGTATTGGTATAAGTCTGATAATTTAAAATAAGAAACAATTCAGTGATAAATAGAACATTATAAAGTATGTAAACAACTATCAAAGAGAGATTAATAATACAAACATTTTGTTTACAATATTAAAAAAATCATAAAATTAAGATTATTTTCGGCAGCAAACAATCGTTCCTGCATCAATAAACTCACAATATTTTTTTACGAGTTAACCATCCTCTAACATAAGCCTGAATCAGGGTGACAGCAGCTTCTCTGTCTTTCTCATGTGCCCTTTCTTCTCTAGCGGCCTTCGTTTGCTGAAGGAAGCTGTCCCTGGACGACTCCTCAGCTTTAAACATTCTCGATTTACCGCGATCACCCGCTAAACACTAATATATGCTAATGACAAAACATTGTCAGCTGGTCATCCGTGCTCACTAGTTGACACTACGATACAACCACCCACTAGAAAATCATCCTTTACTGCAGTACACGTCACGTTGATTTCATTTGCCGAATAATTACTCGGACTGACCAGTAGTGATTGCCACTTGCCACACGTTTTTCACCATCACATAATCCGTGTATGCCTTTAAATGACAACCAACTACGACGGCCATTGTTATTAATTTGATTCGAGACTGAATATTGAGGACAAAGGACATTAGGTTAGGTTAAGAAGCACGTGACTAGTGGCGCCATGAGATCATTTAAGTAAATTACCAATGTGCATGAAGCATAAGACTGTATATCAAATGTGCTGGAACAACAGGATTTTGAAGTAAATACAATTTGTATGACTCATTCAAAACAAATTTTATTTTATTGTTTCAAGAAGTATCTTGAGCATATAGTGTTGCGCGATAGGCAAAAAACTTGCATGTTTTCTTCATAAAAATAATTACTTGTATAATGTTAAATTTATGAATTACTGTTCAACGTTTGTACTTTGTTTCAGAAAATATTGGAAACAAGTTCGTTAATAATATCTAACGCGTTTGTTTGTTCTCCACATTCTTTCCATGCACAGAATAGATGTGTTCACTATCATTATTATAACAGTGCATATTATACATATATTGATATTGAATTTAGAAACTAATCTATGATTAGACTTTTTCTTAATTTGAATATAAAATGTCATTTATCAATGTTTTCCAGTCCTAAATTTTTAGTTAAAGATTAAACGTATGAACGTAAAAAACTTTCGCCATTTAATCTTCAACCAAAATGATAATTTTAACAAGTATCTACAATGGTTATTGTAAAAGTACCTTTCACTGTAGTTCACCAGTTTTTTCGGTCAATTTAAAAAATCAAAATACTAAATATGAATAAAATTATTTTCGTAAAGTTTCCGTCATTGACCTTCATTGTAAACTTATTCTACGAATTCTAATTTAAATTGTTCTTAAATTAATGTACTAAGTATTTAGGGTAACCCATAAAGTTTTAGTGTTCTATCCATACTAGTAGATGCTATATACTGCGCATGTTTTCCAAAACGAACACCGGTTGCGGCTGCTGTGTGGTCATTAAGCACTTTCAATTCTTGCCACTGCTTACACAAATACACTCTAAAAATGAAACAAACAAAATTGGATATGAGTATTATTTCTTATATAGTTGAACTTAGACAAATAGGGTGAACTAAACTTCTTACCTTACGTCCGTACCAGCTACCGCTAAGTAAGTTCCACTTTGGTCGAAACAGATATCTCTAACTTCATACGATTCTTCTAATTGAAGGGTTTTAAAGTTTTTCAATTTACGCAAATCCCAAAGTTTTACACAAGAATCCTCCGCTGCGGTAGCTAAATAATAACCATTTTCAGAAAAACTAATCGCTGTAATCGGTCCTGAGTGACCCGGGAAATTAGCTACGTTCGACTGTTCCTTTAGATCCCAAATCTTCACTTGAGAATCTGCAGTACCAGTACCAAAAATCAATCCATCCGGGTGAAATTGAGCTGTAGTTAACGGTTGAGTAACTTGTCCTGCAACCTATCAGACCACAAATCACTATAGTAATGTAGCAACTTAATCATTATCATTGTTGCCAATTCTTACCTTAGTCAGTAGTCTACCAGTACGTATATCCGAAAATGCCCAATGCTGATCTAAAGACGAACTTAGTAAATAATCGCCTGTTGGATGTAAAGAGAGACCAGTCACTGGAGCGTCGTGTGCTTTTAATAATAGTGTTGTTTGACTAGTTCCAACATTCCATACACGTATTGTAGTGTCAGGTGATGCAGTCATTACTATATCTTCTTCTGGATGGTAAATAACTCGAGTAACCTAAATTATAAGAGATAGTTAGTATCAAAGAATGCTGCAAACATGTTAAATACAAGAACACTTTATACCTTCTTAGTATGTCCTTTCAATATTGCAACAACTTGCTCTGTATCTTTATTGAACACTGTAGCATTTTTATCAGCTCCACCAGTTAAAATCTTACTGGTATCAGCACTGTGTATATCAAGTGCAAGTATTCCAGGTACACTGGCAGAATGAAGACCCTTAAAAAGAAACGAAAATTACAATAATACATTCAAATCTTCGAATGTTGTATGAAATGGTATAAAGAGATTTTACAGGATGAGATGCAAGTGTTTGAAATGCACGAATACTGTCTTGAGGAAGAAGATCTTCAGGAACGGAACGTCCACGACGTTTCCTTTCTTGCGTGAGAACTGTAGCTCTTTCTTGAAGTTTCTGTATTACATCCTCAGTAATACCAGCTTGTTCCATAGGTTGAGCTGCTGTACCACCAGCTTCTACAGCAAGTGCCTATAATATGAAATATATTCTCAGTACACAGTTGCATGTTTAACACAACACTGTATAGTTATATTTATTCTCTTACAGGTTGAGGAATAGTGGTAGCCTGAACAATTCCAGCTTGTGGTTTCAATGTAGCCAAAGCTTCTCTGGCAGCTGTTACTTCTTTTGTTAATCTAGCTATTACACGACATGCTGCATCGTGTTGATATAAAGCATGAGATAATTCTTGCCGAGCTGTTTGAAGCTGCTGCCTCAGAGTAAATGAATGTAACATTACAGCATCCCACTCATCTTGTAAAATTTTTAATATGGCTGGAATGGATGTGGCACTTGGTGGTTTAGGTTTAACTATTGCCGTAGCTAAAAAAAACAAAGATATTATCAATATTATGTGAAATTCAACAATGACGTTAAAAATTATATAATGTTCTATACTTTTGACATCAATGAGTTGATCTACAGTCAATTCCTTTCCACTTATAGGATCTACCCCATTTTCTGCTACATATTTTTCGATTAATCTTCTTTCAAATATAGATCCAGATACAGGGGATACGACGGGATGCTCCGGCACTTCATTAGAAACTGAAAATACGTATTTATTTTTGTAAGGGATTGGCGGTAATGTGAAATGCTCTAGGTTATGTTTAGTAAATGCCGGTATAAAATTCTATTCTTGGAACTAAAACAAGTAGTTCATTTGTACTATTAATACAGTACTTTAAAAATATAAATGTAATATCAATGTTTTAATTTTGAAAGAAACAACAGTATTATAAACGATTAACTTACTTGCACAAGAAAGCGCCATTTTCACACATGCAGGATGAACTTACTGCGCATGGTAGACACATACGTTTATTGAAATTAATTTTGCCGTAAGTTCAAATATTGCAATTGTATGAACAATGCGCTTCATATAATAAGAAGTATAAATTATGCTAATCCTAATTTCTATAAACAAATTACCAAATTTTAAAATTTCCAAATTTTCGAATATGTAAATTACTAAATTTCCAAAGTTATAAATTTAAAATTTTGTGAAATCTATAATTTATAAGTTACAAAATCTCTAAATTTGAGAATTTTGCATTGAAAAATTAGTGGGTAGTGGGGGTCTTTTTCTCCTACATCATGATTTTTCATAAGAGAGCCTACCATGCTGTCCACTCTTTCGTGTATTTAAGTACATGTACTTGAAAACGAGATATGCTAACAGATACAGTCAAATACGATTTCCGCTTTAGTGAAGTAAACATGGCCCCTATGATAGCTGTCATCTTCTTTCTTGCGGTTGCTTTTCACAGTTCTTACGTTGATACATCCAGTAGTCCTTATGCATTTGCAAGGATTGAGGTATTAATTTATTTTATTTTACCAAAACTACATTTATCTTCTTAATATATTACAATTTTATGTCAAATTATAATAGTTTAAAGCACTCACAAATTTTTCCAGGCTTGCAGCGGTTGTCGTTTGAAGCGGCTCCCAGATGTTAGACAGTTTATTTTCGAGGACGTGCCTAACTAGTATCCTTGATCAAAATTAATTGAAGTATCATACATATTTATGTTACATGATTCCAGTACAAAGTCGTTATTTAAAAGCATATTTTATTTTTTAATTTGTAAAATCTCTTATATCTAATCAAGGACAGATAATCACTCTTATGTAAGATCTGTTATTAAGAAGTATGTAATTTTTTGATAATTCATTTTTCTTATTGTTCTTAGAACTTCTTGTACGGATGTAAGTTGTATGATATTTAAAAGTAATGTTCAAATTGTATTAAAGTAGTATACAATTAATTCTTTTTCAAAAATGATAAATATCATAGCATATTTCAGTTTTACATATATGTATATCCTTATAATACTTTATAGCAATAATGTCGAATTCAAACATATTCCTGGTGCAGTTCCAGAACTCCTTCTTTTCAATGAGAATGAAGAGGTACTTATAGTAAACACGTATGTAGCAATAAGGTAGTTTTGAATTTTTTATTTTTCAGGAGGTAGAAAGGTTACCTTTGTTGAAACTAACTCGAGAAGAGTGCAATGATTTATTAGTTTCTAAAGGTTTCACAAAAAAAGTAACAAAGGATGAAATATAGGAATGAATGAACAATGAATAAGTATCTGTAAATTTGGGAAATAATTTTATGTCTCTTATTCTCTACTTAATTGTATAGTCATGTTTATTATTTTATGCATCAATAGTATGTTTTATGCTTATTTGTAAATAGGGCTAGGGATTATTCTTATACGATTGTTCTTTAAGAACCAAGTAATTACAATAACTACTTTAGATTTAAAGTTATACATATAAAGTAACAGAAGAATACAATATGCATACTTCATATGTATAACTTCATACATTACACCCACTTAATAGTTATTATTATAAGCACCAAATAGTAAACAATATAGTAACCTTTTAATGCACCACTTGCTGTCTTTAAGTACCTCATGTTCACATAGATGAGGGAGCATTATATTACCTCCCTGAGGAGCTGCAATCTGTGATACAACTGCTAGATCCATATGACAAAATCAATCATTATAGAATGTTTGGATTCCCTTACTAGAAAGTTTAAGTTGTCATATTCCAGTTATTTCAATTCCTTGAAAGGTAATGAAACATTGATAGATCAATGAAAATAGATATTTCTTAAAAAATATCAAGAGTAACTCAAATTTTACATTGTACACATCAACCAAAACAAATCAAAACAACTGTTATGTGTAATAGCTCCTGATACAACTGGAACTTGTGTAGTAAGGTATTCTGTACATATTCATTTTATTCATATTTTGCCCAGTATTATTGTTTATTTATTGTAATAGAAATTTGGATGTATAGAAGCACACTTATACAAAAGAGGTAAAAATGTGAAAATATCAAGAAATATAAAAATTCAGAAACAATAGCACAAAACTATAATAAAGTTATGGAATGTATTGACTTAAATAGGATAGATTGATTTTAGTTTGTGCAATGTATTTACCTGTCTTTAAAATATTTTTATAGTATACAACAATGAAATTGTATTACTATATATGTACATACATCTATAATCTCTAAAAAATCATCGAATTTAATATACAATTTAGATCATGTTTTCTTGTTTTAACATGGTTATAGGAAAGGATTTAATTTAAATAACGACAATGTACCGTACTTCTACTTTATTTTAATATGGTTAATAAACTAATAAGACAATTTACAATGTTTGATTCTTAAATTCATGTTTAACGAATTCAATTAATATTTGTAATACATGACGCATTTGATGAGGAAATATTTGTTTGTAAAATTCAGTTACTTTCATGTATTCATACCACATGGAATGTTAATTTCCATTTGGTGTAGTTAATGAATGATTAAATTAAAAGTATAAATAATTGGAAAGCTGCTCTTGCTGTGTTGTATTTTAAATAAACAGTCCATACTGTAATTACATGATCATGATTTGTTATTTTGTAATTGCCATTCCGCCTCCTATTACCGTAACCACAATGCAAATAAAATCAAAACATAAATAAGCAAGTTACGTTTTTAAACTTTTATGTATACTCTTATATTACAATATTGTGTATTATATAGTTGCAACCTGTTTCATTTGCACGTGATACCAATAACTTAATAACTAAATTATGATACTGTTTACATCATAGATACTGTAAACCATGAAAGTTCAAGTTGATGTAATAAAACTGTTCATGAGGTTTTTACTAAAATTAATTATGTTTGCATAGGACAAATAATATCTTACATATCTAAGAGTGGTATATTTATATATACATATACATAAATATCATTAGAATAGGTTTCAGAATTTCTGAAACCAGGAAAGAACCTGCTTGAATACACGTATTTACGTAATGGTGTAAATACAAGAAACTAACCTATATTTTTTTTTTTACATTATCAATAACAATGTTAATAACTTTATGTTTAGATACAAAATTTATTTCTTTAATGTAATCACAAATGAATAAAAACAAAGTGTATGTACATGTAAAAATGTTATTACAGCTATAATAATTAAAACCCGTTTGTTTATTCAAGCAGGTATAGTTACTACAATGAGTAACAATAATTTTACAAACGGGAAAAAGACTGACTTATTAATAAAAATGTAATGAATCAATCCATCAAGTCATATAAGATTACAAGATATGAAGCAAGTAGTATCGTTGAACAAAAATGTTACGCCATTAAGAGCCAACAGATAAATATCAATGCCACCCATAAAAATACCTTGGATAGAAATTGCTCTTCTTCGTATTGTGGTGTTCCTCTAGCAGCTATACAGATAAAAATATTTAAATTTAATTTGTCCAGGTAACAACTACAAATAAATTTTGTTGTCTAAATTATTTACCAGCACTTGGTCGTGTTTCTCCAAAGTTAAAAGTCGATGTGAAAAATGCAAACGGAAATGTTCCAATACCAAAAGACATGTAAGAACCATCTCCAAACCCAAAACTAGAAAATCCAACATTATTTTCAGGTTCTGTCCTCTGACCAGCAGGACGTGGTGGAACATTATTCCTGTAACAATACACAGTTTAGTCTTCTGTATTATTCTAATGTAGTACTTTATTATTACCTTGGATCTTCTTGCCTTGTAGCTCCACGGCCATATAAGGGAATGACTTTATCTTTGCTGATGGCAGCTTTACATACAGGGCAAGTTTGTTTCATTGGACGTGTTTCTAACCATTGATGAAGGCAAGGCCAACTAAAAACGCAATCATGTTCAGGCATAAATTTTTAGTACAATATTTATCCTTCATTAACCCTTAGAAAACTGAACTATATGAACCTTACATGTGTCATTGTCATTAACCACTATTATATCATTGTAAGAATCATACCAAAATAAATGTCCACACATGCTAATAACTGCATCTTTAGCTGTATCAAGACAAATATTGCACTCAAATGTACGATTATCCTTTTCTTTTTCTTCTGTAGCAGAATCCGACTGTTTTGAAGGTCCTGCCTGTTCCCTTGCAGTGCTCATCTTGGAAAACTTTCTTAGAAAATAAAAAGTAATATTATTACTTTTCAGCAATAATATACACAATACACAGTCATTTACAAAATGTTGGGAAAAAAAATACACAATAAAAGTAAAGTAAAGAATCCTACATATTGTATGGTATTATCTTACAAATTAATAAAAACAAATTTTTGGCGATGTTATCAGCTTTTTATCACTTGACACTAACGGTATTATCATAATAATAGGAAAACAATATGACAGCATTTATAAAACATCTCGGTAACAGCTTTAAATATTATACGCGAGTACCAGAATGTATTAAAGGTTAAGAATATATATGACACGTACAAATATGCAATTTGCAATCACGATCACTTAATGCAGTCGTTTCTGAACCTATTAGGATTGATAATGTTATGGATCAGGTATCTACGAACGAGATCGGAAGTCATATGTCCATGACAAAAGCATAGAATTTACAATAGCGAAGTTTAACAAAATATGACGTACAAATTAGTCTTTTGATGAAAGTGCTAGACAAAAATTGAACAACGAACAAAATTGGTCAGGTGACGTTTAACGAGAGTAAAAAAAAATTGTGAACTTTGTTAAAATATGTACGAGTTTAGCATTGTCTGCCATTGCTGACATAATTGATGTCACTTACTTGGGTGTTTCGGTTGCTGGGCCCCTTTAACAAATTCCACTTCTTGCAAACTTAACTCCTGTTCCAAAATAATATGACGTATCACGTATACCGCTGTCGCAATTGCGCAAGTGCTATCAGTTGATTTTCATGATTTTTCGCGAAACGGATGTTCGAAATAACACGTAAGTGATTCGACGATCAAGCGTTAACATTTATCTACGATTAATGTTATCTCCAATAATTGTTCGCACGTATGTTACGTACTTCTCGTTTTATTTTTCACGGTCGTACCTCGGGTGTATTTACAATTCTGGAACTGCGATATTCATCCAGCGCTTTAAAACCACCATTTGATTAACGCTGTACCCTAGCTGCTGGATCGCTATTTATCGACCGTTTGTGCAACGTAGTTAGTACAAGTTCCCTATTGCATCGATAGAGTACGTAATTGATACAAATCAATCAACTTTTCCGGGTACTTTTCAAACAGTAGTTTGGGATTTAAAAATTTTTCAATTTACATAATTGATTATTCAAAATCGGAAGGTAATATTTTATGTTCTACTAACGTTCTTTACAACGTTAATGTTGTAACTGAGAGTATTGTATTTACAATGAGCAATGGACAAATTTTATTAATTCATTTTGTATTGGTTCTTATCACGCAGCTTATCAATATTAAGATCTGTTATTCTCGTATCGTAAACACAGAAGTAGACGCAAGATTAATAAACACATATCTAATCACGAACTTATATGTTTGTATACTAGGTCTGTTTGATTGAGGCGCTCCGCACCTAACCTAACAATGTTGAGCGAGCGAGTAAATTTTACGCTAAAGCAAAAATGGTCAACCGTGTCATCCGGTTGAATTGGTTGAGTGGTGCAAGAGAAAAACGTGGACAAAAAAGTTGAAAAGTCAAGTACATAAGCGCGAGCAAATTCAATTTTGCATTAAAGTCTACACGGACATGGTTTTTCGGTAATTATTCCTCCGTGACATGCGCGGGTGGCGCGCAGGAGGAATATACACACGATAATGAACATGCAAAATCGTTAATTACTCACTTTCTGAGCACAGCCTATGAACTTTTATGATTAAAGAATGGTCAGCAATGCATTATTTACATGGTTCGATGATAAAAGTTCATAAGTAATGTTCGGGTAATGAGTAATTAATTATTTTGTTGCAGCCTTGCGATACGTACATGAGCCGCCTATGTCAATTCTACTGAGCATACAAAGTGCAATATTTCGGCACTTTGACGACGCAGTATGGTC